TCGTGCTGGAGAATCGCCGTTTCCAACTGTACGCAGTACAAACCTCACAGAGGCAGTGGGTACAGGCTCACCTCAAGAAAGTGATGCAACTGCTCCCGTGAGTGATGTCAAGGATTCGGCGAAGTGTTCCAATAGTGCGTAAGTTTCTTGTCACTTTTGCCCTGCTCCGAGGGTGCCTTTTCCAATAGAGCTACATTTAATGCCTACAGGCGTGGTTCGATGAGAATTGCTTTCGGTAATGCTCTTTACGATTGACACTTTTACGCACTGGATGTCTCGTACTGCTGGGAAGAATTGCAGAGATTAAGAAATCAAGTATATGGATGAGGAGGAAGATCCGACCTGTTCATTCCATCCCCATGTTAATCGCGTTTGGATAAAAACTACTCCAAATTGAAGCCGCTTTAGGACCACCGGACAGGTCTTGGAGTACTAAGGCAAAAGGTGTATAAGTCATGCTTCTCTAAACTCATAGGTTCTCATGTCCAACTTAATTTGACAGTTTCTCATGATTTTCGCATTCCCGTGCTGGACGTCACAAACAAACTGAGCCGAAATCGACCATTTGTGGCCTTAATTTTTAAAGGCAATAAAAGTGGCAGTCGCTCTCCTGACAATGACTGTCATTCTTGTCGCTGGCATTTGCGACTCAAGCCAAGCTAATCTGTGCGATCCATGAGGGAAAGAGGTAAAGCTTGTTCACCCAACGCTTGGCTGCTGAGAGGAAGGGAACAGCGCAGTGCACCAAATGGTGCGCGCGTGTGTGTGCGCGTTTAAGGCATAGCGGAGGTGTACAACTTGCAATGATGGTCGTCCACCCAACTCAGTACACTCATTTCAAATGAATTGATGAAGAAGAGAGGAACAGACGATGCAATCCGCATAATTCCTCCGCCTCATTCACTCCTGCCAATGGCCGTGCGGGTTAAAAAAAATGCCTATCATTATTTCATTTGAAATCTTCCCTTGCTTGTGCTAAAAGCTGACACCTTTTCAAGGAAACGTACTTGAATTTGTGTTAAACATGTGCAGTGCTTACTGCTGCTAAAACTGTCAATGACAAGCAGAAAGGGGTTAAGTTGCCCTCAATCGTCAGGAGCATTTACAAACTTCATTGTTCGTTACGGTTACAACAAGGTTGGTGGTACTTTAGGAAACCCAAAGGATGCGTGTTGCAATGAGGGACTACCAAAGACTCTCACCACCTTCGCTGCAAACGTGAGACCTTCCTCCTTTCTCCGACCCCCACTTCGGACATTCTTCTCTTTTTCGTTTTCTTTCTTCGATCCACTGACCTTCAGGCATTTTATGTGCCGGCAAACTATCACGCGATCCTCTTTGCTTGTAATCATTTTATCTTGCAATAAAATGGGGTAGCAAAGACACAGAACCATTATTTAATTAGTGAAGTCAAAGTGAATTGATGCTTGTAGGAGCGTAATCTGTGCCAAAGGAGGGATTGGCTGCTGCACCCCATTATCCGCCGGCAGCATTCAAGTCAGCCCACTGGCAGCATCGATGAGCAGCTTTGAAATATACCTTTGATATGTGCCCATGGGGAAGTCACGGGTGCGCAATTATCAATGGTCGTTTGGCGCGGATAGCAATTTGAACTTTTCAAATTGTTTGAAGGTTTTGGAGCTGCTCCTTATTTGGTTTTATTCAGTGGGCCCGTTGGACTTTCTTGTTGCCTCAGTGGCAGCAGTCGAATTCATTTTGCATTGTTAAGTGCCGGCTTTGAAGCACGTTTAGGTCGCATGATCGCCTAGAAGGCGAAATATTACACCTCCACACCTTCTCACCCTCCCTACAACGAAAGCCTCAGCAACAACGTGTTCTTTAATCAGCACCCCTCGTGGTTGTGCAACTCCGCCAACCGCACTTTGCACCACACACAACTGCGCCCCTTCCCATCCCATAGTGGCATTGATTTTTCCTTGCTGGTATGAGGAAGCAGACCGCTTTGTGTCAATGTCACCGCTCCAAATTGCCAGGCAATGAGTGTGGGTGCAGGGACCCCCGTTGCTAGCTGGTGGTAGGAGTTGACTTGCCGTTTAGCTACGATGTCAGGACTATTAGCGATTTATGGAAAGAGCGGAAGGTGTAATTGACAGCAGGTCGAGACTTGAGACACTCGCCGTGGTATTCCATGAATCGCACAATGATGTGAACAATATCGTGCAAGCATTTGGAAGGTGAATGCGAGCTACGAAGGTAACCGATGGCTGGTGTCATTTTCATACCGTCATCGTGCCCTTCAGTCAGGGCCGATAAAACTGAACAAATGAGCACACAATGCAACTCGCGTTTTTCTGCCTCTTTGAAGGGTCTACACAACCTCCCGATTGACTCCGGTAATGGTGGAAGTCTGGGTGCGTTCTCATCTCTCGTCCCCACTCCCGAGTTGCGTTAAGTCTGCACGGCTTAGCCCCTGCCGGTGAGCAAAATGCACACTTTGCTCCTCAAAACACGCACTTCAGGTCATGCTAAGCTGGAAAGATGCAAATCACGGAGGTGGTAAGGGTCACTTGATATGGATGGGGATGGCATCTGCCTCGTGATCTTCCTCAGCGGTGGAGCAACAAGGCGAAGAGGTCTTTCAAGAGACTTCAGCTACTTTGCCGCCTCGCGTGAATCCTACACCAGAGCGGCGTAAAGTTAACTTGGTAGGAAGCAACGCGTGGAAGTAAAGGAAGGAGAAAGCGAAGTGAACCGATGATGAGTAGAATCAGGCGTCCGGATTATTTTCTCGTGACATGTCGACATGCATTTTTCCAAGAGCAGGAGCGAGGAAATTAAGGTGACGTCGAAGTAAGCACACATACGATCAACCGCCAATTAATGGCAAATCTCAGCTCCACTTTTTTATCTCATGATTAGTATAGCCTGCGTAATTGTGGAGTTGTGGCTGTGCAGCTTCTAGGTAGCCACTGGTCTGCTGCACAGCACTCTTCTCTCCAACTCCTTCATGCAATTAAATGCAAGCTGTGTGTGGGTGTTGGTGTAGGAGGTGAGAATGAAGCTGATTGATGGAGAAAACGTAATTGTATTCATGCTGATTGACAGATAACCGATTCCACAGATTTGTGTAAATCACATGCAATGAATACTTGATTTTTTCCTTCTTTTAATTCATCGAATGTTGATCGACTTCAGTCCTGTCGAGTGTAACGATTTGATGTCGCTTACAGCCCTCACCACTGTTGTCACAGTGCAGCGTTAGAGGCAAAAATTGCATGTGACAGTAGCGTCTGCACATCTTCACACCACCCACGGTTACGAAACCAAAAGGTTTTTGTGTGCAAGGGGGTACAAGTGCCACCCTTTCTCACAGACAGTCGAATTCGGATGAGTAAGTCATAGAATGGCGAGGAGGAGAAGGAAGGGATTGGTGGAATGGAGGTGAGACAGAGAGGTGGGATCGGCATGGATGGTGTGGACACTGATTAAGGGATAACTGATGGTACTGTGTGGCTTAAATCGAAACATCTCCTCTTCAATCACCACCACAATGACTTCTCGTATGTCGTCGAAGCTAAAAATTGGTTGGTGAGTCAGCTGACGCATTTTTTTAGTGCAATAACGCCATTGAGCGCCGTCTTCCTCAAGATCAGAGTATGGAAGGATCAGGAGGCTTCGCCTTGGCAATAGCTTTCTTGTGGTACCACCCATCAATCACTCACTGTTGCCTTGCACTTCTACCAAGTGCACCTCAAACCACACCCAAACGCGCCACAATGCAACAGCTTTTCTTTCTAGAACAAAGAAGGATATCTTTTTTGTGATCGCTAGCATATCAAACTGCCAAGCAATGACTTCATTAGTAACCAGCTGCTTCCTCAGACAGCAGTTCAACCGACTCAATTTGATGCAAACGTCTCCCCATGTTCTAGTTAAGTAGTAGAATTTGGTGCCGTGGGGTGAGAAAGTTGATTACTTCGTCGCGATACACTCCCATTGTTACCAACTTCTTCCTTGGTGTGGCGATTTGACTACGGGTGACGTCCAATGGCTTGAGACTACCACCTCAAGGCACACTCTTGTGATCTCTGGCGGAATCAAGCAACCAACATGACTCCACATTAAGGAGAAGTGTGTAGAATTCAGACGGTGCCACATTTCACTGCGGGCTGTAGACCGAGTGCTAACCTTGCGCTAAGACATTTGTCAGTCATCAGCACTCTCGACAGTCCCACCAGACATCACGTCTGTTCCCTATCCCAATGCCATTGCACCAGGCGCCAGTGTCGAAGTCTTGTCACTCACGTGATGGCAGTTTGTAGAGACGTTGGGACTTGACTCAGCTTTCCATTTTTTCTTCGCAAATCGTGATCGTTTGACAACTGACGAGTTGGTCGTGCCAATGGAACGTAGGACCACGTCCAATGAAGGACTTGCTACCGACAGTGAAAGTGGACGCATTGGACAGGTGAAGACCGTAACTCGTGCACAAGCAGCCGGATTAGGTTCGATTGATTGGCGGAGGTAGAGACGATGCGTTCGCCTTCAGTGACCTGAAGCAGTACCGCGCATCAAGACATCACGAGTTCACGCAGACAGAAAGCCAAACGAGTCGTCGGGGTGAGGATACAAATATATATTTTTTGAAAAGCTTGATACAAAAGTGGGTGCCTAAGGGTGTGTGTGTGTGTGTGTGTCGTTTGTACCAGAATCGTGCGCGATTGTCATCACTGCAGGAGAGGAAGGCCGCTGTGGTTGGTGAATGCACAAAACACCGAATTGGACCGTTGTGACCTATAAAACGCTAGCAGTGGATAAGAAGTTCCACAATTGACAACACTGACTACGTCCTATCCCGAGGTGTCAAAATTCCACTGAAGGAGAACTCACCTCCCTTCTACTACATCCCGTCGAGAAATGACCAAATCACGAAGTAAAACAACTACTCACTCAGTGGCAGTAGACGCTGACGATCGGCATTGCGAGAGTCCCAACAGCACAGACTTTTTGTCACCTCATCCGGGAAAAGGACTACAACACGAAACCAAATGCGTGAAAGATCCAGCAGAATGCTGTAGCATAACCGGCTAAAATGGGATGCTGTCGAATTGGTGGGCAATTGTCTTTTGTAAAAGCCGAGAGAGATCAGGATTGGTAGCAAAAGTGATGCGACGGCAGTAAACAACAGGGACTAGAACGATGCAGACTCCTCGAACAAACACCAACGAGCTTTCAAGCAAGTGGATTGGAGATGTGCTTTCACCAACAAAGTGTGATACCACCAAAATTCAACAAACCTCTCCATCACAGATTAAACAATGCAACATTCGGGAGATTGACGTGTTCGTTTTGGAAGTCCTGCCTCTCGCTCACACAGAAACAAATGCGGAAGCAGTGGATGCAGGATGAAGGGCAGAGCAGAAGAGCGCTCAACATTAGCGAGGCAACATCAATAGGAATAGAACGAGAGCGGAGGAAGTGAGGAGCAACCAAACTCACCATAATCCTCGGTGTGATTGAACACTGCGTTGGAGCGATGAGTATGCAGTCCTAAAGTTCCGGCACCAGTGTAGCTGATGAGACAACGACTTGTCGACAGCTCCCACAGTTTTACCACGCTGTCCTTCCCCGACGTCAGCACGTACTAGGATAAAAGACCCAAACAATTATGGCAATTGCGCCGCCGTTACTATCCTCCATTTGGACCAAGTTTGCTCATCAACGAAGACTATTCGCTATAGCCGTACAGCATATTGCAAGACGACGCTCGTCAAATGCATTTATAGCTAGCGTAGATCTTCTGCTGTTGCATCTGTATAGCGATGGCACGACACCTTGTGCACAATCATAGCCTCTCGCCTACTCCATCAAGCCTTATCATGACATTAGGGATCGACCAGAAGGGAACGGGAAGGGAAAGACGGAAATGGTACAGTGATGGCAGCCTCGGTGAACCTTTCGTTCCTCAAAGATGACACGGATCTCGAGAGCCAGCCTAAACCAATGAGAGTAAACCCCATTTCATACTCACAGAGGCAAGGCACTCTCCCCATCCTTCCCGCCCCCTCCCTTACCCCCACCCTCGCATTCATTATTTCAGACAACAATGGACCACTTCGACACCAACTAATCCTGTGATACTCTGGCATGGCTTTGCACTAACCAACGAGTGCACTGCTCTGACAACTAATTATACCCCAGCCACCACAAACCGATGGGGAATATGTCAGGAGACGCCCACACCTGGCAGAATGGACGTCCGCAGGCGTGAAACCTTCTTACCATGAAAATTAACTAGCTTTATCAATTGGTCAAGTTCACAACCAAAAGCATCAGATAACTCCGACTTACATCTTTGCACACGGCCAACATGTGACCAATCTCCAACGTGCAAAGATGCCTTTTCCTTCGCTCCTCCTCAAAACGTATTAAGACATGCCTCTTCTTTTTTCCCTACTTCCATATAACATGCATGCAGCTATACTAGCTCCAGACAAAGCGGAAGACCTCCAATGCAGTTTCAGCCGTGGCAGACCTCATCATCATAACCACAATCTTTTCTGTCAATTGACAACAAGACGGTAAGCTACCACCCTCCCCGTCCCCCTACCTAGAGCAGACCACCGGAGAATGAGGAGATTGTGATATAAAG